ACTAGCCGTGGTGGGAGAACCGTGAGAACCATATTTGGTGCTATTTTAATTGTGTATGATGCTATTTTTAATCTCACATGGTGCTATCATTTTTACAAATGCTAACATAAATTGTGTTGCTATTTTTAATAAAATACATCCTGATTAAAAATAGCACTAAAATACAATCAATCATAGCACTACATACAATTAAAAATAGCGGTTATCACGCTAGGACTTAGTTCTCATTTGAACCAAATCCTATATATATATATATATATATATATATATATATCTTTTTAAATGGGCCTAGAGGAATTTTACTCTTTTGGACTACCTAACTAATATAGGTTGGAGACACAATTTTGTTGGGGGCCTGTGACCCCACTAATATAGGTTGGATCCGCTGGTGAGTCCGGCAACCCAACGGACTCTGAGGTTCAGATGATGTGGCACAGTAGAAATATGAAACGTCTTATAGTCGGCAAAATATTTATCATGTGTCTTCAACCTTAACCTATAGATCCGATGCGCATAGGTTATTTCGTAGATAAATTTGTAACTTGAACATTAGCAGCGGTTCTTGTAGATCCCAACAAAACTGACTGGGGGCTAGGGATTCTCTTAAATTGGGGGCCAGGTATAGAGTATGTAATGGTGGGTCAATCCTGGTGTTGGAATCACATTGGATCCTTAATAAATTCTCTTTCATTCCCCGGTGCCACTTCTAGGGGGATAAAGAGAGACTTAGTATGGTGAGTGAGTTGTTTGTGAAGGGGATAAGAGAGTGGCACATAGATTGCATCTTACAAACATTTTCTCTTGTGGATGCTCAACTAATTTTGAAAATTCCACTGACCACCAATGGTTTGAGAGATAAACTAATTTGGCATTGGGATAGTAAAAGAGAGTTCTCAGTCATGGGGTTTACAAAGCTATTTACTTAACCAAACTAGGCTTAAGGGGGTTACCTAGTTCTAGTAGGTCACTAAACTTACTCAGTTACTCTGGAGAACCACTTTGGGTCTACCTATTAAGAACAAAATGAAAATTTCCCTTTGGATGTGTTGGTTTCGTTTAGTAGGTTCTAAAATTCTGTTGTTGCATAAAGGCATTAGATTTGATTCTATCTATGAAGCTTGTGGAGGATCTCAAGAAGATCTGGGGAAGATCTAGAGGATGTACTGTTCAAATACTCTAGAGTTATTTGCTCGAAGATCAGTGGGGTGAAGTGGAACTTGCTAGTAGGGGAAAAGGATAATTTTAAATCTTGGTGGTATGAGGCGTGCACAGGAGAGAAGGGTGTTTGCTGGAAGGATTGATTAAGTCTATCTTCCTATTTAATAATGGTGGTTGTGGAAAACAAGGTATTCTTTGGTGCTTAATACATAATGGGTGTGTGAGAAGATTTTGGTAGAGAGAGCCAAGCTCGAATGGGGTGAGTGCTTTGTGCTGGTTAAGGATGTTTCCAGTGATTACATTAGCTGCTGCAAATGAAGAGGAAACAGAACTAATAGGGATCAGATGGAGACTTATGCTTCAAGGGTGTTGATCCTTTGCTTGCTGCATCGGAAACAGAAACATTGTGGAAAAGCTGCTAATTGGGTCAAGTTTTGGGAGTTCTGTTCAATCTATTGTTGATGATATAATGTACATTTCCTCTCATTTGGTTGTTTGCTCCTTTCATGTTGGTATCAATGTTTGTGTCTATTGTGTTAGACTGGCCACAAGTTGGCTTTTCAAGGGATCATTAGTGGCATCCTCGTTGGTGTTTTTATCATTTTTCTCTTTGGTTAGGAGTTAACCCTTTTCCCTCAATTTGGAGGATTGTTTATAATTAACGTTTATGATCAACAAAATCTTACTTTTTGTCTTTTTTTTTTTTAAATGTACAAGAGAATGGTGGGAGTAGTAAGATATTCATCTACAACGACTGGAATTATGGATAACAAAAATAAAAAAAAATACTAAAAATTACGATTGAGTAGGCAGACGATTATTTTATATAATAAAGTCAGACTCTTCCTCATTTCTTTACAAAATATGTGCAAAACTTATGCTAAAATCACAATACATATGACTTTTCCACTAGAAGTAACTAATAAAATGGCAAATGGAAATAAAAATTCGAAGGTGGGTTTAAACAAGAATAAGGTAGCAAAAAAAAAGCTACTATCAATATAGTTGATCCATTTATTATTTCACAGTCTCTATTACATATCAAAACTTAGAAAAAGTTCAAATATTTGGAGTGTACTTACATCCAAAAAAAGAAAACTTAGACAGAAACTATTTAAAAATGGTCTGTTTCACCCACATGAATTCTCACATCTCTGTTTTCAATAACTCCAAGGGATTCGGTCATGTGAAACTCGAATTTATCGGCTACTTTCTCCGGCATCGAAACTAGAACCCTAACAGCATTGCATTAGCAAAAAACGGGGAAGAAAATACACTATACATCACTGTATAGTGGGCCCATGTGGCGAGGCTTTCCATGTCCAAAGTCAAGCTCCTCAAGGCCCAATTTCGACCACTGTGATATGACCATGGTCGTCGATAGGTCTGCAGACACGCTTTTGTATTCAAGCAAATCAATCATCGAGCGAACGTAATCGTTTGTTATAGTCGATTTCGCTCGTTGTACTAACATGCATATTACCGTCGTGCAAGTTGGGCCCGACCAGTTCATTAACCTCGATCTTTGCGCATGCCATGACAATCGCATTCCCATAATACCCTTCCGGGATATCGGGAGAAATCTTATTTCTTACGTTGACAGAGAACAGAAGCTTAACTGTAGTGGAAAAGGGCAGTCCCAAGGATTTAACCCAGCATCGCCACGTGTGAGAAGCTACGACCTTGAAAGTCGTGCATTCTAGGGAAGGGCAACATTGTCTTTTTAGTTGGAGAATTTGGGAGGGTGAAAATTTAATGGATACAGCGGTAGCGGTTGAGACTGCAAATACTTGAAAATGTTGGGGCAGGTTTGAAAAGCCAAATTCTCATGAGCGATTCTAGCGAATCCCGGATGGTCGAAAGCTACATGTGGCGGACTATGAGGTTTTAACAAGTGGCGGTCGTGATACGACATTGGTATGAGTAAACCATAAGTAGACTGACATAGGTGGGCCCATGCATGTAAGAATTGTGAAGCCCCTGTCCCATCACAAAAACAGTGGTTAAATGCAATGCCTAAGATCATGCCACCATAGTGCAAGTTTGTGACCTCTTGAGTAGCCATAGAAAAAAGGGATAAAAATGTGTTAATTGCAACTATCAATACATTAGACTTTTGAGGGGTATTGTGTTATTTAATCATTGTTTAGTGAGAAAAAAGAGGAAAAGTGAGACACGGAGATAGTAATTAAGAATAGATGCAAGTAAGAGCATCTCCAATGCTCAATTATTGTTGTGCTAAATTACATTTCACATCAACACATTTGGTAATATTACAAATTTTCATCCCCCAATGTACAATGTAATCCCAAATGTTGTGGTGATGTGGACATATTTAATGTCTTCAATGTAAAGAAGAATGTGCTTCATCCACTTTCTCCTCCACACTCTAGCTAGAAACTGAAGAGAAGAGAGAGTATTATTCTTACCAATTTCAAGCTATTTAATTTATTTTCTTACTTACTAAAATTTAAATATTTGGTAAATAGATAATATTGTAGTTAGACTACATTATGCATTGGAGATAATATTTAATTTCAAAGTTGTAAACTTAACATTTTTCTTACATGGTTCACAATCCATTTAATTTATTGACATTTGTCAAAATTTATTCTATAACAACATTAGACATTGGAGATAAGGAGTGACAAGTTGTGTTTGGGCATGAAGTAAATTGTTGTTGGGTAGACAACTTTTTCGAATTTTTTACACTAATAAAAATAATAAAAATTAACTGGACAAAAACAAAAACAAATAAAAAAAATATAGACAAAAATTAAAACGGCGTATTCTGAGAATACGTTTTAAAGTGTAAAACGTATTCTTAAAATACGTTTTACTGTGAAATCTGTAATAAAACATATTCACATAATACGTTGTAAAAAAATTAATAAATAAAACGTATTTTGGTTATACGTTTTACAAATAAAAAAGAACTAAACAAATAATTAAGAACTAAAACGTATTTTGATAATACGTTTTAAATTTTAAAATTAATAAATAAAAAAAATAATATATTGTATGTGTTTTGTGTTTTGGGCTCGTCTGAACTCGGAATTGAGTTCTGTTTTTTTTCTATACGTAGCTAAATGATGCATGCATGACCAAATTATTCTTGAAATCATATTCTCCCAAAGCTCTTGACCTACACATTAAACGTACTTCGCGCGACTTTGCTTTTTGGGCCCGTTCAGACTCGTCCAAGCTCGAAATTGATTTCCGTTTCTTCCTATATGTCGCCAATGAACCCATCTACACAACCATGATTGCCCGGTCAATTTTTAGGCTCAATCTATTCCTCACGGGCTAAAAAATTAACAAATCACTCATTATATAAATAGATGGTCCACGGATGATTTGTTAATTATTTAGCCCCGTGAGGAATAGATTTAAAATTATATATATTCAAAGTTATAAATATAGTTGCAATAATAAAAGTAAAATTAAGATAAATAAAAAATACTAAAAATAAATTAAATGAATTTCAAATTAATAAAGTTAAATTATGTAAATTTATTCCAAATAAATAACATAATTTAAAAAAGAAATAGCATGAAAAATTTAATACATATTTATTTAAAATAAAAATAATCTAATGAAATAATTAAACAAATAATAATACAATACTTAACATATTTATTTTAAATATATATATATATATAATGTAATAGTTAATATATTTATTTATTTAAACGTATTATATATATTTAATATATATCAATATAGCCATACTCGGATAAACCGACTATAACAGCTCGACCGGGTATCAAGTCGAGTCACCCCAATGTCGATCGGAGTAAAGCATAGCAACCTGAGTCGAGTTATCAACATGACAATAACAGCTCGAGGACGTCAAGTCGTACTCATGGAAGCAGCTCACAACAGATCCAATCTCAAAACTCGACGCTAGTGGAGGACGAACATTTCAGCGACAACTCCCCTCACCATTAGAAGCATCTCGAGGTCGACCTCAACCTTTCCGTAACTCGAGGTCGATTTCCTCTAATTTTGATAATCCTTAGTCGACATCTATACCTCGAAGTCGACATCGTTAACTGTATAACTCGAGGTCGACCTCGTCATCTCAGCTCGAGGGTTGACTTACCTCTTTAAGAAAATAAGAACGACTTGAGGGCAAGTGGCAAAGCCTCTTGAGATGTTCCATCTATATGAATGCTAACTCCAAGTCGATCTCCTGTTGCTCGAGGTCGACTCTCTATACCTTGCAGCTCGAAGTGTACAAGAACAAGTTACTTTCGATACTCACTGGGCTTAAACGGATAAGGATGAATCTTTATAAGATAAGATGGAATCTTAAACTGACTCAGGTCTGACTAAGAGGTGATTAGGATATGTTCCAAATCAAATAATCGGGGCGGTCGACCTGGGACATTCTGGATAGGAATTTTCCCTATAAAAGGGACTGAGGTAACATCAAACCCTAACTTTTATATTCTCCACACATTCCATATCTTGTTGTTGCTGCTCTCTGCAGAGCATCTTTTCTCTTCCTGATACTGACTTAAGCAGCGGAGGCTCTACAACGGAAACCCCTCCGACATTGAGTTCTTGCAGGTGTTTGTGGCGTTCTAGAGGCAGTTCAGACAGCCAGTTTACTCCAGATCTAGGAGGAGACCCAACATATATGATATTATATTATCTAATATATTTATTTATTTAGTAAATATTTATTTAATATAAAATTAATTTAAATTAAAATTAAATAAGGTAATCAATATAAAAAAAACCGTAAATGACAATAAAAGTTAAATAAGATAAGGTAATTAAATTAGTTTTTAACACTTGTAAATTTATTTTCTCAAAACTAATTTTCGATAAATGAGAATTAAATGATTAAGTTAGCCATAAATGGGCACGTAAAATGATGTCTGTGAGATTCGAAAGGTTAAGAGTCCTTTCTCACATTGGACTCTTAAATGCGATTAACTCTTTATATTATAACAACGAGAACTGGAGAGGTCACAACATCAACGAAGCTATGCACTAAGTGTTGGTGTAGGCTTTTGGCACACTCGCGCACTACAGGCCAGGGGGCCCAGCCCGGGCAAGGCCTTGGGCCTGTCCTGTGCTTGAGATTTGGGACTTGGGACTTGGCACTTGGCACTTGACACTTTGGACTTGAGACTTGGGACTTCGGTCTCGGGTCTTGGGCCTCAGCCCTTAGTCCTTGGGACTTAAACTGTGGGCAGCCTTGAACAGTCTAGGCCGATCTTGGGCTTGGTGCTGGGCTTTAGCCTTCGGTCCAGCCTCTATTATCTTTTTACAGCAAACTTATTTACACTTCTGAAGCCCAAGATAAAATCAAAACCTAGTTGACTTTGGACTTGAGTTTTGACCAAGCCCATGTGAGACCTCTCCAAGTACATTGAACCTAGACTTGTGTGACCATTCACCTGTCAACTTGACCGTCTCCGTGGTTCTTAGGTGCAGTGAAGGTGAGTTATGTTAGTGTATTTAAAGCATGGCTTTAGATGTGATTCACACTATTTATGTTGAATGAGAATTTATGTTTGGTTAAATAAAGTTCTGTGCTCTATTGTCTTGCATTTAGATAAATGGCTCATCATGGATGGATAGAAGATCATTTATCGGTTAGTTGCGAAACATAAATAATTGATTCACAACCTAGATGAAAATTGAACAATCCATTAGAACGGTTGTAATGTGAGCGGTACAATTGATCTTGACTGATTAGTTACACTAGTACACATTGGTGTAATGAATTGATTCTAGAGAGCAGTCCGTTTTATACTGATCATCGTAAACGAACTAGGTCTCGACTAGTTACTGCGTTCTCTTAACTCGTAAGTTATAAACAAACACATGTATGTAGTAATTACTACTTTAATTCAGCAAGGTGAGGTTTAATGATATGAACCAATAACTGTCTGGGTTGGGCAGTGATTCCTACATGACATGGTGATTTGTTATAATAATCATGTACTTCACATAGTTGAGGTATGATGATGTCCCCGAACTGAGTTCAGAAGGATTATTATGTTAAACCCTGCAGTGGATTAAATTCTGACATAATAATAATGATTGAACGGTGCTAGCTTCGGTTCAAGAAGTTGATTAATTTAATTATCAGTAAATAAATAAATTGGCATACATTACATCTTATACATGGGGAGCTTATTCGAGTATATTAGAAAGTGGAGCTCAAATTGAGAGTATTCAATAATACTACTTTAGTGGAATGACTATATTATTCCTATTAGACTTGGTAGACTTGGTCTATAGTCTAGTCCTAATAGGATAATTACAATTTAATGTCTCCTCAGACTTGGTAGACTTGGTCTATAGTATAGTCTAGTCCTAATAGGCAAAGTACAATTGAAGCCTATAAATACACCTCTTCTCTAGTCTTGCAAGACACAACACACATAGAGATATCAAGATTTTCCTTCCCACCAAGGGAGTTCTAGAGGCGTTAGGTAATTCAATAGAAGACCTTTCTGTAGTCGAGCACCCGAGAAAACCTGAGCACCCGGCCACTGTGGGACGCCGATCACCACCGAGCACCGCCACGCGAGACAACTCGAGTTCACCTGAGATACCCCGCGATGACCTGCTCCTTCGCAATCTCCAGGCGACACCGATTTCCTGCTCCTGGCGACAACGTGCTGCGACCCGTGACGCCGAGACCCTACGCGACATGCTCCCTGTAACGCCGTGCGACCCACTAAGTTCTTGAGTCCAGAGATGATGCCTGCAACGACTTGATGCCGAGCAGACCCGCGAAGTTCCTGTTCGCGACCAGGCGCCCCGAGACGTGATTCCCGGCACCACTCGCGACCCGCTTGCCCCGTCCGTACTAAGCGACCTGTGATCATTCTATGAAGGCCCGTCCGGCTATCCATCGGACTTTGTGATCAGACAATCACCTCCAAAAAAACCTACAATGTCTCAGAGTCGACAAAAACCGTGAGTCTTCTACTTTTACCTATAGATTCGTTTGCGCATAGGTATTTTTGTAGTGAAATTTGTAACTTGCACATTAGCGGCAATTCTTATAGATCCTAACAAGTTAACACCTGAAAAGTGGTCCATTTACAACAACCATTAGTTGGTTGTTACTGGTTAGGTTGTTACAAGCTGAAGACCAGAAGTCATATCCCACTTGGGCTGGAAGTCCTATAAATAAGACAACGTAGAAGCTACAGAAGACACACATTTGCATCTCATTCTTGAAAGCCTCACGCATTATAGTATATACATTGTCCAGTTCTCGACATTGTTCGTGTTCGCCAAAGCTTTGAGGTCTAGCGTGCTACAACTTTCGAGTCAATAGTCGTTGAATCTTTTGGGATAATAAGCACAGACCCGTTAGAACTATACGTGGCGTATTTGTCTTGCGGAAAGAGTTTACTCGCCTCGACTTTCATCTTTCCGCTCTTAAGTTGTAATTTGTTTTTTGTTTTAGCTCATATTGTAAAAAACTGAACACTTCAGTTCATAGGTTTCTTTGTATCCAACCCATTTTTTATAACACCTCCAACTAAATTCAATTGTGTAGCTGATTGATTCAGCTGACTATAAAAGTTTTCTAGACTTTAAATATGTTTACTTATTTAGAAACAAATATGTGCAAAACTTATGCTAATAAAATGGCAACAAGTGTAAACGAGAATAAATTGTTTGCCAGCACAAAAAAACTACTATTAATATAGTTGTTGTTTATGTCAATTACACTCCATTTATTATTCCACAATCTCTAATACAATATCAAACTTAGAAAAAGTTCTAAGATTTGGAGTGTACTTACATCCAAAAAGAGAAAACTCAGACAGAAACTATTTCAAAATTGTCCGTTTCACCCACACGAATTCTCACGTCTCTGTTTTCAACAACTCTAGGGGATTCAGTCATGTATGACTCGAATTTATCGGCTACTTTTTCTGGCATCGAAACCAACACCTTAACGGCATCGTGCTTGCCAAAAACCGGCAACAAAATGCAGTAAACATCACTGTATAGTGGGCCCATGTGGAGGGGCTTTCCATGTCCAAAATCGAGCTCTTCAAGGCCCAATTTCGACCACTGTGATATGACCATAGTCGTCGATAGGTCCGTACACACACTTTTGTCTTCAAGCAAATCAATAATCGAGCGAACAGAGTCGTTTGTTATAGTCGATTTCGCTCGTTGCACTAACTTGACACCGTTTTGCAAGTTGGGCTCGATGAGTTCTTTAACCTCGGCCTTTGCGCATGCCATAACAAACGCATTCCCATAATACCCTTCCGGGATCTCGGGAGACAACTTATTTCTTATGTTGACAGAGAACAGAAGCTTAACAGTAGCGGAAAGGGGTAGTCCCAAGGATTTAACCCAGCATCGCCACGTGTGATAAGCCAAGACCTCGAAAGTCGAGCATTTCAGCAAAGGACAAAATTGTCTTTTCAGTTGGAGAATTTGGGAGGGCGAAAATGTTATGGATACGGGGGTGAGAGGTTGAGATTGCAAATACTTGAAAATGTTGGGGCCGGTTTGGAAATTCTGGTTGTTAGGGGAGGTTCTAACGAATCCCGGATGATCGAAAGGTACATGTAGTGGAGTACGAGGCTTTAACACGTGGCGATTGTGGTACGGTTTTGGTGTAATTAAAGCATCACTAGATTGACATAAGTGGGCCCAGGCATGTAAGAATTGTGAGGCTCCTATCCCATCACAAAAACAGTGGTTAAATGCAATGGCTAAGATCATGCCACCACACTTCAGATTTGTGACCTGTTGAGTAGCAGTAGGTTAAAAGGGGAAAAAGAATGTGTTAATTGCAATTACAGAAAGATTAGAGGGGGAAAGTGTTATTTATTTATTCATTGTTTAGTGAGAAATTAAAGAGGAAAATGAGACAAGTGGATAGTCAAAAAGAATCGATGCAAGAAATAAAGGCAGTGGCAAGTTGTGTTTTCGGCATCGAATAAACTACTGCTGGGTGGACAACTTTTGCGGTTGATCATAATTTGGTTTTAACTTTAGTAATTCACTCAGCAAGTGCCATCTTTGTCAAGTTCTTATAGTCAGTCAAAAACGCACTTATTCTGTCTCTTTTATATATTTTTCTTTTTACTCAATTTTTTTGAGTAAAATTTTATGTATTTTCAGTTAGTATGTGCAGTGTCTTTATTTTTTATTTATTATTTATTTAATGCATGTAACTCGTAATTCAAATTGATATATGCATAAATTTGGAACGAAAAAATAAAAGAAGCAGACCTGAACTACAAGAGGTGGAGTGTCACAAAAACTAGAAGCCTCAACTCTGTACAAGAGCTTTCTTAAGGACCTGTTTGGCTTGTCCACAAACAACTCGACAAACTCTTCAGCACGCATATCAATATTTGCCTCCACAAAAACAGCGCCTTGTCCGTTACAGTCTATTTCGAGCATACTATCATCATTCTCAATGCACGATTTCAATCTCCCGGCCAACGGATAGTACTCGACTAGAACCCTAGACAAACCGTCCTTTAGAGTCTCGGGCTCGACCGATTTTTTGTAAACATAAAGAAATTTAGTAGTAAACCTCAAAAATTTCTGGTCGTCGAGATTAGAAAGGTAGAGAGTTTTTCTTGGAGTCGGGTTTTTGGGTCGGATTAAAACGGGCTGACTTTGTCCATAGACACAATCTGGGAGTTCTTGGGATTTAAACATGGTTCTTTATTGTATGAAAGAAAGATGTATATCCCTTATGAGTTTTTGGGTGAGTGTCGAAGAAGTGATAACGTTGTATATAAAGAAAATGATGGTTGATTGAGTTTAGTGATCCAACGGTTGGATATGTGGGATTGGTAGAATAAGATTATTTTTCCGGCCACACTTTACTAAAGTAGAGAAAATTAATAAAGGCCAAAAAAAGGACAAGCTCATCATCATATATACTCGATGAGTTCCCACTACCTTATAAGTCATATGCAATTATGCTACTTGTTTGAATGTGTCAATCTACAGCGGATGTTATTTTTCTTTGATGTGAACCCCACACTCAAAATATACACTAAGAATCCGGCAAAGATAATGCAATCCCACGCAGGTGAACCGCACCATAAGAAGGTAAACTTAGGTGCACCACAGTGAGGTTACATCCCAAACTAATTGCTGATGGAAAGAATAACTCACTAGGCTTATATGCAATGTAAGACAACTTACAAGTAATAATCCAACACTTATATGTATACACACACAAATTACGGTATGTTGTACTAAACATTAGTTGATATACTGTTTTTGAAAATATACTTTTATGAGGAAAAAATATTGTACATTAGAAAAGAATATGGACACAAATATAATATTTAATTATAGTATAAGTATGCATATTTTTAAGAAATTATATATAATAAGTCGAACAGTCTAGTTGTTAATCTCTATCTCTCGTAAGTATATCTGCAAAATTATAGTATTAAGTTGTCTAGTGATTCAAATGTCACATTTTAATAACAAAATGGATAGCTGCAAAATGAAATATTGTACTCTTATTTATATTATTAGTAAAGTATGTATTTGAGTGTAAAGAAAAACTAAGCTTCTCTAGTAATATAGTACTATATGAATAGTCTTTCATTTTCCTTTTAACATAATGCATCGTATGACAATATATCTCTCCCTTATATATTAATTGAGAACGTGCTGAGCCTATGTGGCAGGCTCGCATGCTTCGGGATCCTATGTGGCAAAAATACACGCTTCGTTATTAGGCTTGGGTAGATTTAGTTTACTTCTAATCCAAATATATTTAGGTTCGGATTATCTATAATATGTTGATTATTTATGGTAAGGGTGGACGCCGGCCGGGACGGTCTTGGATTTGACTTGTCCGGATACTCATCCCATTTTTATGAATCCGTCCATGAACGAGGCACCGTCGCCACCCATGTAATACATGGGTGTTGTACTAGTTAACTTTTATTTGCTAAAGGTCATCATATATGTGGTATTATTGCTCATCATGCTAGTGACGCAAATATCTGTATCCGATCTCTAACCAAACTGTCCACTAAAAAGGAATATTTAATGGGCTTGATGTCGATTTTATTACTTTGTAATCCCTTTTATATATAATTTTTGATTTGAATGTGATAAATAGAAGTGACAAGCTCGCGTACTTTGGTTATTTGTCATAATTCTATTCTTTGAATTGATACATAATTAGACTTGAGTGTCATGTCAATTTTTTATAATTTCTATAATATATTAAATAGTTTTCATTATTAAAACAATCATTATTTATTTCATTCCATACTTTTTTCTTCCACAATTACCCTAATACTTTCTTTTTTCATTTTTTTGTTACATATCTTCACTAAATCAACAATATTAATTTATTTCTCAATCTTTCTCTTCAATATTCATATTTTACTCATTTCGAAGATGAAATAATATGATATTAGTCTTTTAAAAATGATATTTATTTCAAATCTAATGGGTATCTTGTCAATCTAATAAAATATAATTAATTATCCATATTACAAAATTACATATAAAGTTAGAAAACTGTAAGGACGATGAATACGGCACTTGATGTATTAGGCGTTTAATAAAGTAAAAAATTAATCTATTTTGCTTAATATTAAACAAACATATTCTACACTTATGCATACATATCGCTATATTATTTCTATTTATTTAAGATATATAATTTTGTACTTATGTAAAAGTAAGTAATATTGATATTTTTTATGATATAATTAAAAAAAAATTAATATGAGTCGACAATATCATTTAATATACTGGTGTTTAATTATTATGATTAAAAAGATATAATTTGACAATCTAATTAAAATTCAAAGTAATGTTTTATATAAAATTTAATTATTTTAGACTTTAAAAAAAAAAATGGAAACTTTAATAGTTTTTACATATATTTCCGAATTCAACATTCGTGTAATACACGAATATTGTGGTAGTTAAAATTATATTGCCCTTGTAATATAATTTAACTCATCGCTTATTCCATAATTTTTCTTTTCCTACTGGAGTCTCCAATGCCACTAAAAGAGTGTATAAATCCGTTAAAATGTTACATCATCAGCATTCCACTATCAATTTTTTTATTTTTTATTATTTTTCTTTCTCTCTTAATTCACACAATTTTTTATTATTTTATTTTGTCTCATCTTCCACACTTCTTCTCTCCCGTCAACCTCTTCTTTCCGTTGGTGTCTTTTGTTTTTTCTTTTTATTTTTTTAAGGTTCTCTGACAACAAAAAGAATTCTGGTGAATGTCTCGCGGGAAGGATTCCGGTGACACGTGATCAAAAAGAACTCTGAGGAAAGACGAGACGAATTCTGACAAAGACGGGGACCCTCTCCATCGAAACTTTTTTTTTCTTTTATTTTCCGGCGAGCTCCTAACTCGCCATTTTTCCGACAAAAAAGTGGTTGGTTTATGTGTATTTGATGAAGACTCCAAATTCATAATGAAAAGTCAAATCCGCCGTCACGTAACTGAATATCCCAACTCCGAAGCTGCTGGAGAGCTCGTGGAAATCGCCGACGGGGATCTCAACAGAGGAGAAGGTGAAGCCGATGATGGTTAGGGGAATTTTGGCCTTGAGAATTGGGGGTTTCGGGTCCTCCCGGAGCGTGAGTGAGACTTTCACGATGTGGTTTTTTTTTCTCGAGCTAATCGCGCCGAGTTTTAATGGAGGTGTGTTTTGTGCTTGTAATAGATCGGAAATGCTCCCCTACCTACGGCGGGTACATGTTAATATGCCCACCGCTTATGTGGAATGCACACATTGGTGATGTATTTTTTTAATATATTAACATCACCAATGTGTGCATGCCACATAAGCGGTGGGCATATTAACATGTGTTCACCGTGGTAGGGGAGCATTTCCCTGTAATAGATTACATGGAAGTTAGAGATAAAGATGAATGTACCCTATTTATCTTTTGTTTTAAAGGTTTGGGTTTATTATTTTTCTTGCAAAAAATTTCAGATTACATTTAAACGGGATATTTCATAATTTTCTAAAAATATTACCTAATATAGTATTTCTGAAGTTTTAGCTGGAATTCTAGGGATTTTTTAGTTACTATTCTAGATGTTTTAGATTGTGTCTTTTATATATTAATAGATGCAACTATTTAATAAAATTCAAGATAATTAAAATGAATAAGAAATTAGATGAAGCAAATCTTTTATTTATTTTATATTGTTTTATGTCATNTGTGAAGTTCGTTCAATGCCATTTAGAGCATCTCTAATGTAGCTTTTGACATTATAAAAATTCATCCATATCATCAACTTTTAAAAGTGTGTTAGTATGTTACTAATTTGTTCTCCAATGCATCTTGTCATGAGCTCTTTCATGATGAGGTGGATAGCATTTAATGTTGACAATGTTGAGCACACTTTCTAATACCTAACACCATGTTAAACATGATGACTAATCAATTCACTTTATATTTGATTTAACTTTTTATTGTTCTTGTATTAATGATTATTTTAATTGGTCCACCTATACAAATAACTTCTTACCAAATTGATGTATTGGAGATATTAGTTTGATTCAAATTTCTGCTCTTTTAACATTATTCTTACATGGATTAACATTACAATCATTGATTGACATGTGTTAAAAATCATTGTCTTTTAAAGCTATAGCATTGGAGATGCTCTTAACAAGGTCAACTCAAATGTAGTTATGTGCGTGTAGCTGTATTCCTTAAAAATAGGTGCCGGTGTACAAAGTCGTATCCCTCAAATTAGGTGCCTATCGACCCTCATATTTCAATCGTGTGAATTTGTTTCGAAAAAACCCCTAATTAGCCGACCCAAACTAATACTAATACTACTGCGAGATTTAAATAAATAAATCTCTTAACCCATTCCCAATCCCAAATTCTAGGGCTTCCAGCCATGGGTGACGAAACTCCATTGCCCCAATCCGCAATCCAACGAATACAGTCTCTTCTAACCAGAAAAGAAGCTGCTCGGACGGCCACTCTGTCAAAATCCTGGCGCAGCGCGTGGCTGACTCGCCTAGACGTCGACCTCGATGAGAGCGATTTTGGGAATCATCGCGCGATTGATAAGTTCTCTGTCTTCGCGAAGAAAACCGTGCAAAGGTACGAGGAATCGAACCTAAAGATTGAGAGTTTCAGGTTAAGAATGAACTATTCTAAGCGGTGTGAATGGGACGATAATCTTACCGGCCTTGCTTACGAGTTGATTGTAAAAGCGTTGAGATTGGGCGCGACCCGTCTCGATCTACAACTCACGCATTTCAATGATGAGAGACCCATTTTGCCGCACGAGGTTTTTGAAGCTGAGAACCTTGTCGAGTTATCCGTGGAAGGCTACTTCATTCCTGATCTCGTGCTGGATCAAAGGGTAAGATGTTCAAAGCTTGAATCCCTTACTTTGAATGACGTGAGGATTAAACGCGATATGGTCTCCCGCATAGTTTCAGCCTGCCCCTTGATTAAAAAATTATCACTCTGCAAAATTAAGAATAATAGATTATTACAGAGGCTTGGTTGGGTTTGTGATTATCTGACCGATTTTCACAAGCTGACATCCCTCAAGCTTCAAGGTAAGCGTTTGGATTCCGCGTTTCTGGATGATTTGTCCTTTAGATTTCCTAATGTGAAGGATTTATCCTTGGAGTTGTGCTATTCTAGTGATGAAATACAAATCTGCAGCCACTCGCTCGAGCGTCTGGAATTACTCACCCAAGGTAATTGGAAGCCGAAGATTGTATTGGATGTCCCTGGTATTCGTAAAATTGTATTCAAATGTTTTGGACTTCCTTTATTCGTTTTCAAATCGGATTCAAAGGAACTGGATGAATCGCATATATCCATTGAGTGTTGTAGTATTGAACGTTTGTGGTTTCTGGAATTGTGCAAGCTGTTGACGGAGTTGAGGCGGTCAAAAAATTCTCTCTCTCTTTCAGTCATTGCTGTGGATGTCTGATTACAAGGTAGAAAGCTTGGATGGTTCACCCTTTAGGCACCCGAAGATAATTACGCTTGAAAAGAGGAATGATTTCCTTTCCAATATGCTCGAAAGAGGAATTGAGTATTCTCCCACCCTTGCAGTTTTATGTGGACAACAGAGTCCTCTACAAAAATAGACAATACAGATAGGGTTCGACTCCATTTGTTGTGAGCGACGTCTCCTTTTAGTTACTTGATAGGATGTTATAATAGTTATTAGCTAGATGTCTTAAATAATAAACTTAGATAAACAAAAATGATAGTAATAATAAACAAGTAATGAGTTTAGCCCATTTTTTTTTTACAGAACCTCCCTTAAGTATCTATACTTATATTAAAGGAGTACTATAAGTATCTATACTTATATTAAAGGAGTACTATTTACTAAATGTAGTATGTAGAATAGTCAACCCTAATTAATGATTTGCTATTTTTATCAATCATTTAATTAATGCATCTAATATTTTTGGTATGCAAATCAAATTAGCATTTAATTAGTTCCTAAAATATTGGGTATGCAATATTAATTTAGGAATATCTATGTAGTTCTTAAAATGTAGGTATGCAATACGTAAATAAAGATTTTTTATTTTTTTTAAATATAAAATATTGCAACACTTACAACTATTCCAGTTATTTTTTTATTTTATTTTACATATAAAATTTAATCAATATTTAATGCATCCTACAAAATTGGATTTAGTTTAATTCTCCATACAATTGGTTGTAACTTTTTCAGTTGTACATTTTTTATTTATTTATTTTACACTTTTAAATTAATGAAGCTCTCCGAAAATACCAAATCAAATGATTTATGAATTTTTTTTTTTTTTTTTTTTACAATTTTAAATCTATATACCCAGCTTAAAAAACTCATCGCATGGACGAGTTTAAGAAAATTTCATAACCCAGCTTATAAAATTCCATCTCCACGAGTAAAAAAAATCACATCCCTCACCTATCGTAACAACTTTAAACGTAATTAAATAAAAGTCTAATTACTACTATAAATCCATTATCTATATAAATTTTTTAAAAATGTAAATTTCACTTGTCTCATTACTAATATTTTAGATACTTTTAAATATTATTTATATAATTTTTTTTTACACATTTGCTCTCTCTCTCTCTCTATATATATACATATATGAAGGTTAAATGAAGAATTTTTAGACATATTTTCCTTACGGGTAGTTTAGAAAAATTTAGGTAGCTTCAAACATTATTTGTGAATAATATAGAATATTTTAGATGCTTTTATAGATGTTATAAAATATTTTAAGTATTTTTAATATTTATATATCACACTTAAAAAGAATATTTTGCCAAAAAAAAACATTAAATACACATTGTAAATGTTAATAGAAACAGTCTTCAATTTTCATCTTTGATTTTGTCAAAACAAATCTTATAAAATCGGTGAAGTCAAAAATTGTACGTAAAGTCTATCTATACTAAAAAAAGGTAGATTCAAAATTCTTTATCTAATTTCTTTTTTTCCTTATCTAATTCATTCTTATTATCTAATTGTATAGAAATCTGTTCTGATTTTGTGTAATCCTCTAATTGTATTTGTATCATATCCGATAAAATCGGTTTAACAAAAAAAATCTCATAACATCCGATAAGTAAAAAAAAGTACGTAAAATCTTTATTAAAATAAAAAGGCTTTATTTATTATCTAATTTATTATCTGGTTGTATGAAAATCTGTTCTGATTTTATATTACGTACTACAAATTGTGCACTCGTGTTCAGGAGCTACTTAACCGGCAAGTTATGTGGAAATAACTCATTTAGTGCTTCTGTCCCGTGCATACGGTATGTATTTGTATTACACATACTAGAAAATTGTGCACCCCGTGCATCGCACGGACTCTATACTAATAAATGACCTTAAAATTGTGCAACCCGTGCATCACCCGTGTTCACATTTTGGCCTATTACAGGTCACGTACTATATATACCCTGTACATTTTTCTTTATTCATTTATATAATTATACAACTTGATAAATAACCTTAATTTTGTGCACCCCGTGCATCGCACGGGATCTGTACTAGTTTAATTTAAACGTCCAATGATGTTCCTAGCCATTTACTTTAAGACTACATTTATTTCCAACTCAACTCAACCCAACCCAATAATAAATAATATTTCTATCTCCTCCACCTATACTGACTTGGACATGTGCTGAAATGGACTTGGATGCCTGAACCTGGCTCCTTCCCCTGTTCAATGTGCCAAAAACACCGGGAGAGTAGGAGGCGCCAACTTGGTCAGATCCCAATTCTTGACACGTAAACTTAATGGGTGTCATATCCAATAATAATAAATTTCTGCTTCTAAAATAACTGTAGTAGTGGTTAGAAAGGTCGTATGCACAGAGATTGACTAGACAAAGTACTGTGCAACTATTCGTGAAAGAAATATAAATAAAAATGATGGGGGATTTTTGATGATTTTATCTAACTACGAAAAATAAAATAAAATAAGATCTAAAAAAAGAAAAAAGAAAAGAACAAGTGAACCAAATTGACAAAATATCCAACCAATGGGAAAACTCGTAGATATGGTTCAACGATTCGATCACGGATGCAAAGGTAATTCCCCCATTCTCGATTAAATTAGTTATGGTTATTGGTACAACCTAACAATTTATCCTTCCTTACTTGATCGATAATCAGGATACGATCTCTAGTTATTTCTCTAATCAACAGATTAACCTAGATACGATCATAAGATCTAATCCATCAACAACATTGGAATCTAGAAGGACCACCAATCCTAACCAACAAACGCACATGTAGGTTCATTTAAACTAGATCATATATCTCCCTAAGCATACAATTGAAAACTCTTAGTAATCAACTATGCTATTTACCACAAATATTAGAAAGTGAAACAATTACGGAATTAATGTTCTAAATAATGATATGCGTTTCCACCATCGAACAAATGGCCAGTTTGCATGAACCAATCAAAACACAATTGATAATAACCACAAGACATATATAAAATAAAAGAGAATGAAAGAATATAAATTCAATTAGATCTCACAAATCATGAAGAACAAGTCTGGATTAATCCTTTGGCTTGAAAAATAAATTAATTATCCATAAACATGGGAGCCTTCTCCCAATTATTCATGAAAAATAAAAAACGAAGACAAAAGTAAAGAAAAGAGAGAAGATGGCGTGTAGGTGAGAGGGGAGAAGAAGAAGAAGAAGAAGACGAAGAAGAAGAAGAAGAAGAAGAAGAAGAAGAAGAAGAAGAAGAAGAAGAAGAAGAAGAATCTAATTCTAATCCTAGCAAAAAATAGGTAGGAAATAATAATGAGATATTTTTCTCTCCAAAATATCCTAATAAAATAGAATTGTTCATAAATAAATAAATACTTCATAAAGTCTGGTATTTCTCTTTCCAACTCAAAACTCCTTTCTTCTTTCAACTCTCCTAGAAAATTGGCGTGCCCACACCTTAGCTCAAATCTGTTTTTTTTGCCCTCCAAAATCATTAAATCACAAATTTCGAGATCTCGTACAAAAGTTATAAAAATTAATTAAAATCAATGATTAAGCTCAAACAAACATCGAAAATGTATGGAAAATATGAAAATTAACATGTCAAGAATACAACTTATCAACACTGCACACGTGGATGCGTCAAACCGAATTCCTAGCATATTCCTTAATCTTGTATGTCTCTAATGGTTTGAGTTTTTTTCTAGCGGTAACTTATTTCTCTCCTATAAATAGTCTTATTTTATTCCCTTATAACTTACACTGCATCTTCACTTACTCAATCTTCTTTGCGAAAAAATCTCTACTTCTTGTTCTGAATTCACGACGACCTTTTTATGGCGATATCTCGATACTCTTCATCCTTCCTCTCGTTCATATGGGTATATTCTGACTTTCTCTAACCCTGTGTTTGGTTCGGGGGAATCAGAGGGGAGGGGAAGGGAGGGGAAGGAATATTTTTATTTTCCTCTGTTTGGTTCAACTTTTGGCAAGGAAGGGAGTAAAATTTTCCCCTCCATTCTCGCACCCGAGGGAAAATCAGCTCCCCTCCAATTTTGGGGAGATTTGGAGGGGAAGTTAAGTCTTACACTTTTTTTGTACTAATGTGCCCTTATCAATTCATTATAATTACTAAATTACCCAATATAAATAAAACATAAGTAAGGGTATATTTGTCCATGTAATTTTATTGTCCCTCCCCCTTCATCTTCTAACCAAACAAGGTTAATCATTTTCCTTCACCTCCCCTTCTACAAAATCCCTCCAAACAAGGTAAAATTACATTCCCTCCCTTCCCCTCCCCTCCCTTCCCTTCCATTAAATCACCTCCCCTCCTTTGAACCAAACATAGCCTAAATCTTTTGCACTTTTACTTCTTTTATACTTCTCGATGCCCTATCAAGAAAAAACCTAGTCCTACTCACAAATCAACATGTCTGTTGACACCTTGACTCTTCTTCTTCAGAGCGACAACCTGCCTCGGTTAGACGTTCTCTTAATGTAGGAGCCCGTCAATTTAATCTTCTATTTGGACCCCCGAATGGATTGGTACCTTCCGTCACCTGTCCGAACTCCAATTCCCTTGGGAAATCGGAACTCCCAAGGCTGGGGAAACATTCGACCAGCCCCTCGAGAGCTACTACTCCTTTTGTTGGGACCAAGTGGCGGCTGGCCTGACCTTTCCGCCTAGGTGAGATCTGGTAGAGCTGGGCCAGCTCTACAAATCTCCCCTAAACCACCTAACCCCAAACTCCCTTCGCTTTATGGTGTGGTTCGTGATCTTAAGTCGGCACTTCTTGCAGATTCTTGATCATGAATTCTTCTTTTACTGCCACTGGCTTAAACAGGTGGAGCAGGTTTTTTATCTCTCTCGCAGAAACAATGCCTCCTTCTTAAAGGACCCGACCACCAAGATTCTGATTTGGAAGGCGAAGTTTTTTTCGTTCGTCCTCCTCCCGATGCCCTTTATTTTTCATCCGTCCGGCTCTCTGAAAAACCTAGTCAGTGCAAAAAACCTAAACCAAACCCCCATTATGATAGTCTGATTATCCATTGGAACAAGGGCCCCTTTTGATGTCTTCCGCTTGACTAGCGACTCCAAATTGTGGTATGCATTTGGTCTCTCGGGTCGTCACCATCCTTCCTTTGACTTGGGTAGTCTTCTTGCCAACATTCCCTTAGTATTATTTCTTATTGATACTTGCACCAGTGCCTTCTTTCTTCTTATTTTCTTGTTGCAGATGATATTCTTACTGTTGCGAGGTTGGGCTCTGCCTGAACAAGCTGACGATCTAGTTGTCGCCTCATCCCAACTGGGGATGCCACAAAGGGTGGCACGAGCAAGGTCGGAGCAGCTGCAGTTATGGCGGTGATCTTCGGTGTGGCTGGGACTACTTCCCTGGTTGTCCCTACTTTTTCAGTTCATATCGTCTGTAAGGACGAAGAGATCGAACAGGTCGATTCCTCAAGAAAAAGGTCCTGGGCTAGCAAGAAGCCTGCTGACAACCTTGAAGAGGCAAAAAGCATGGAGCAATCGGCACGATTTGCTACCTCCAAAAATGTGACTGAGCAGGCGCTTACTTGGTAAATATCTTTCCACTGTCAGAGATTGAGTGTTGGCGAGGTGCCCGAGTTGCTCGGGCGAGCTACGTTTTGGACCACATCATCCAAGTATGTACTTTGGCTTTTTTTGTCTCATTTTCTTTCCCTTTTTATTATTTTTGAATCGAGTATTTCAAGTTTGAATTTGTGCTCATTTAATAAACGAGTGTTGTCGTGGCTCAGTTCGTTTAATAAACAAATAAAAATTTGAGCTTGGATTCGACTCTTATAAACTCAGTTCAAGTCATTTAATAAACTTTAAACTAGCTAAGACAAAAATCTATAACTCTAACTGACTTATTCGCGAACACGTTCGACTCGAATTGTTTCATAGAAAAGCTCGATTAATTGTTCGAGTTTGGTTCGTTTAAATATACAAGCAACTCAAGCTCAAAATTTTATAAGTCAACTCAAGCTCAAAATTTTATAAGTCGAATCGAACTATGTTAAAGAACAACTTGATTTTTGCATCCTGTTGAAAAAATTTACTAGCTACGTCCATGGACCCATGATATTAGAACTTCGTTCGGAGTTCATGATGATAGACTTGCCTAATTAAAATTTCTTTTGGACGCCGAATTTCAGAAGCGTCGTGCTAAGTAAGTTTTCTTCAATATGAGTTATTGACGTGTCTTAAAATCTTGAGAACACCAACTTTCCATGAATAATGTAAAAACACGTTTTTTCATCCTAATGTGTGATTATGTTTTATATTCAACATTTTTTTCTGTATATCATCCCTATCTTACTACTGAATGTGTATTGAGTCCACATCTTAACTTCAAAATATTTTTAATATAAATAAAAATGTACATATCTAAATATAATGGATATGTATAAATGAGTTATTAGTTAATTTTAATATTTGAATATTTTAAATGGGCTAAAAATTTAATTAATAAAATCTTTCAGAGGCTTTATGAATGCTTTCTTTTGCACCTCGGAGATCAGCTCGTTTTGAGGCCAGATAAAGATTAGGATCGACAAATGCTTGGGCTGAAGCTCACCACTTTCCGATCTACGAAATGACGGATACCTGATCGAGTTAATTCTGCTCTGAGCAGCTTTGGCTTTGACAAATCTGTGAAAATAGCTAGTCTTTTGATCACCAGCTTCAGATACATTGAATTATTGAAGAAAACAAATAACAGTTTTGAAGACGCGGATTTTGTGTTTGATAAACATTTGTCCCGCCCATGAGGGACATTCAACATCAGATCGATCTTTGAGAGTTGAGGGCTGACTGAACCCGCGGGACTCTTTTTCAGTCATAGAAGAAGTAAGTGAGAGTCACTCCCCTGGCATTGGTGAGTGTTTTGTTTTTAACCTCTTGCGGACTTGTATCTATAATTTTTACCATGCAAAATATTTTATATATTTAAAAATATTAATAAATTAAATATCAGCCCAACCAGTTCAATCACTAGTCGAATAACCGTTCGTTTTTAAAACCTTGTTTCCTATTTCCTATGAGGCAATGGAACTAATTCATAAAATTCAAGATGATTAATACATAAGAAATTAGACTAATCTAATCTTTTATCTATTTTATATTGCTTCATTTCATTTAAAAAAAATTCAACCAGAAACATGGAGAGTTCGTTCAATGCTATTTAACAATGTGAACTCAAAATTATAAGAGAAATATTATAGGTACATAATATTATAAATAGAGGTGTACATAACACTCAAATTTAGTGGGACTTACTAAAAATAAAAAATCAAGTGAACCCCACTCCATGTGAGTGTTATGTACAACTCTATGTATATTTATTATGTACATGTAGCATTTTCCAAATTATAATTGCAGTTATGTGCGTGTAGCGGTATTCCTTAAGAGTGAGTTTGGTTACTTTGGCAGATTGGGCTTGATACAATCAAAATAAGTTTGGACCTTGATGTAGCAAGGCTTTTATTGCAATATAAAGTTTGGTTGCATTTCTAACAAATTGATACACACTTCAATCCCATCTATATTTCGTTGGTTCGTTAAATACTGATCGAGATTAACATTTTTTTAATTGCATATTTTTTTTCTGCTTTTTTTGTCCATTGGTCTTCTTTTTCTGTCCCTGCGCTAATGACCAATTCTCCAGCAAGCCAAATCCATCGACGACAAAACCACAATTACAAACACAACTTTAGATGACTAATTTTTTGGTCACCGGCAAACTTCAATTAGATATTTCATAGTTGGACCCTTCAAGCGGCATGCCCTCGAAAACTGATTTTTGGATCAATAAATCGCTTACGGACCTACACCAGTAAGCTTATACATGCCTCAATCGATTCTATTTCTTCTAAATCCATATTCCTATTAAGTGTGTTATTTGTTTATTTTTTGTTAATGTAGGTTTTACACAACCCTAATTTTTAAACTTAATTAAAAATGGGGGAGGGGTTTGATAAGTTAGGATTCATCTGAATTGAATTTACTGTTGAGGTGGAAAATTGTTGGAATCAGATACAAAACCATTTAAAAAAAAAAGATATATGCAATTGTTTTTTTCTTTTTTCCAGTGATGTTATTGATTTGAGCTCTGTATCACAATGGAAAGAACATATTGTTTACAAGAGCAATGTACAGATGCACATCATGTATTTCTCTGCTAGCTCTTTAAGGAAAGGTGGAATATATTCATCAAGAAAGATGCGTTGTACAATTTTTTACTTTTTTAGTAATGAGGAATATATTCTGATTATCTTATGGATGTGTCTTTCTGTCAATCTTAAAATCAGCTTTAAGATTCAAAATCAATAGTCCAATCGTTAGTAATGAGGAATATATTCCTTCCTCAAAGGAATTGATATTGCGTTGTTATGGTAATATGTTTATATACACAACTGTTGAATTTTTTCCTCATACAAACTATATAATCAAGCATCATCAAGTGAGAATCACAAGCAACAGAACAATTTACGAGTTTCATCTTACACAATATCTCTTTTCCTTTTTCTGTTTCTCGAAGGCTCACCTCAGAATGGCTCCAAACAGAGTTTCAAAATCTGCTATTTCCCAAAACAAGGTCTTCTATTCTGGAGAATGGACTAGGGGAGTAGAAAAGAAATTCAACCAGAAACATGAGGAGTTCGTTCAATGACCCATGTGTACTGTGTCTTTCCTTATGCAATTTTTGAACTTCCTGACCCCGTTTCTTCTTTTCTCGCAGTCACAATTGTTCGTCGGCTGCCGACTCAAACGTTGATTTGCACCCAAAAAAAAAAATAGTTAGATTTAAGAAAAATTGACGAAAATAATAAATACTATGTTGTGGAAAATTTGAAACAAGGGTTTGTAGATCTTATTCACACAATATCTTGTGTGAATCGGATGAGCGATGTAGATGTACGAGGAGATACGAGCTTCAGAAAGTGAAACCAGCTGCGGCGCAAAATAAAAATGAGAGGAACCCTAACATCAAATTACATCGAGGAAAAAAAAATAAACTGTTGATATTATTTATATTAGGGTACTTTGGTAAATATGTTAGAGAGATAAAACAATGGGATATTGTATCCCACGCTAGGAGGCCAGATGAGCAATACGATTTTTCGGTTTTAAAACTACCGGGCCTAGACCATTTAAAGGGCTTTTGCTGTTCCAACCAAACATATTAAACCAATGGATATAATAACATTTTTAAGGATAACAAGTTCAATATGGGCAACCAAACTGACCCTAAGAATAGATGCCGATCTTGTATATAATGATTATATTTTGATCATTTAATATAAGTTCCTTTTCCAATAAAAAAAATAAAAATAAAAAAAAAAGTCTTATCCCTCAAAATAATGCCTATCGACCCTCATATTTCAATCGTGTGAATTTTTTTTCGAAAATAAGCCCAATTAGCCGACCCTAACTCGTACTACTGCGAGATTTAAATAAATAAATCTCTAAATCTTAACCCATTCCCAAATTCTAGGGCTTCCAGCCATGGGCGACGAAACTCCATTGCCCCAATCCGCAATCCAAATAATACAGTCTCTTCTAACCAGAAAAGAAGCTGCTCGGACGGCCACTCTGTCAAAATCCTGGCGCAGCGCGTGGCTGACTAGCCCACACCTCGAACTCGATGACAGCGATTTTGAACGGAACTTTAGTTATGGAGAAGAAGAAGACGACGACTTCGACGAGGACGACTACGACGAGGACGAAGAAGAAAGCGGGGATCATCCCGCGATTGATGAGTTCTCTGTCTTCGCGAAGAAAACCGTGCAAAGGTACGAGGATTCGAACCTAAAGATTGAGAGTTTCAGGTTAAGAATGAACTATTATAAGCGTTGTAAATGGGACGATAATCTTATCGGCCTTGCTTACGAGTTGATCGTAAGAGCGTTGAGATTGGGCGCGACCTGTCTCGATCTTCAACTCACGGGTTTCAGTGACGAGAGACCCATTTTGCCGCACGAGGTTTTCGAAGCTGAGAACCTTGTCGAGTTATCCGTGGAAGGCTACTTCATTCATGATCTCGTGCTGGATCAAAGGGTAAGATGTTCAAAGCTTGAATCCCTTACTTTGAATGACGTGAGGATTAAACGCGATATGGTCTCCCGCATAATTTCAGTCTGCCGCTTGATTAAAAAATTATCACTGTGCAAAATTAAGGATAATAGATTACAGAGCCTTGGTTGGGTTTGTGATTATCTGATTGATTTTCACATGCTGACATCCCTCAAGCTTCAAGGTATGCGTTTGGATTCCGCGTTTCTGGATGATTTATCCTTTAGATTTCCTAATGTGAAGGATTTGTCCTTGGAGTTTTGCTATTCTAGAAATAAGATACAAATCTGCAGCCACTCGCTCGAGCGTCTGGAATTACTCACCCAAGGTGGATGGAAGCCGAAGGTCGTACTTGATGTCCCGCGTATTCGTAAACTTGCATTTAAATGTTCTGAAATACCTTCAGTCGTTTTCATATCGGATTCAAAGGAGTTGTATGAATCGCTTGTATCCCATGTGTGTTATAGTTTTACACATCGGTGGTTTCTTAATGTGAGCAAGCTGTTGACCGAGTTGAGGCGGTCAAAAATTTCTCTCTATCTCTCAGTCAGATCCTCTGTGGATATGCCTATGTCTAATTACGACGTAGAAGACTTGGATGGTTTACCCTCGTCTAGGCACCAATTGGAACATTTGATGGTGGAAACAAACTATATGCGTTCTTTGACATGTTATGCGTTTTTTGATGGGTTATTCCGGTTATGCTGCCCGAAGATAATTACGCAACGATACCCACGCCGTGGGATGTATCATGGCCACAAAACAAACAATGATTTCCTTTCCAAGATGCTCGAAAGAGGAACGAAGGGAGTATTCTCCAACTCTTGCAATTTTATGTATGGCCTGCATGATCTCGAGGGGGTTTATGTGAAGCCATATGACGATGATGGGGATGATGATGTGTGGATATTAAAGTTCAATTTACATAAGCACGATACAGAGACGGTACAGTTCCATTTGAAATGGAAGTCTACATCCTAGTGTTCGTTTGAATGTGTTGAGAGCTGCCTCCTTTTGATGATTTTCTTGTTTTTCTTTCTGCTGATTTGATGAGTAAACTCACTCTCTGCTTCAGGCAGATGCAGAACCTAGCTTTTTCTCCGTTCCCCAACAATTAACAATGGATCAAATGGTGTAATTTCGTATTAGTAGACTTGATATTTCCCTGTTTATTTTTCTTAATTGATTATGAATTATAAATGAAAAGATGATTTGATATCATGATGTTTAGATGTTCTTGAAAGTGCAATCTCATTAATATTAATATCTGTCTCACTCGTATGTTTCCTTACATCACATACACAACATGTACTTGTGATCAATTCCAGGGGATCAATTTCATCACAATATGATACCATATGATGCAAACGGTAGATGAGCATGAAAAAGAGTGAGGTTGTAGAAAGTCAGATAAAATCAAGCCGATTTCTAATCCGCTAAGCGGTTATGCATTCCACTCCATTCAATGGTAACCTCTTGTAACCCAAAAGGATGATATGATATCCAGAGCTTAAAACAATCAAAAATCGTGACCAAATATAAAATGCTAAAATATAATGAACAAGAATGTCCAATCGGCACAAGTAGGTAGTCACTATTCAATGTTATATATAGGTTGGTTCTTTAAGTCCAATCGCTAAGCTTGGAGAGTATCATATTACAGAGCAAGAAGTACCTAGAGACTACGGACATAAGAAATGGTAAAAAAAAAAAAAAATTAATCTTCCAGAAATCTAAAATTGTGTACCAAGATGGTTATCATAATAATTCATTTTAATTTTCTCATATATTAAATTTAAATTTTATTTAACATACTTTAATCAACCCACGGCACATGTGCTTTAATGTGAAAATCCTATAGAAAATATATATTTTTTTTGTCCTCAATAATTATTAATATTTAAGAATGTTTTATTTTTTTTATTTTTCCAAAAAAAAAAGAAAATTATTTTGACATTGATTAGCAACAACTCTCATTCTAGTTGAGTTTCGGTCCGCAAATTTATTTTACTTATTTGTGTCAATTTCTATTTTCAAACCAATATATTTTTCATATTTATCTAGTTTTTTTTTCTATATTTATCTAAGTTATCAATTTACATGTTAGCCATTTCATTGTCGAATCTCCTTAAAACAATCATATATTTATTTACCTCTTTCCGACTAATTATTAAATTTCTTTTTATAATTATGCATACTATAATTGTTCTCTTTTTAAGATTTTTGTAGTATATAATCATAATATAATAACGTCAAAATGAAAAATAAAAATCAATACTTATTACGAGGAATCCTAACTAATTAGATGCCTCCGCGCGTGATCAACATAAACCCCATAACCCCTGATCTGTTCCCAGTCCTTCTTTTAGGGTTTCCAGCCATGGCAGATGAATTTGAGTTACCCGCAACCGTAATCCATCACATTCAATCCCTTCTCACCCCAAAACAAGCTGCTCGCACGAGTATTTTATCGAAATCCTGGCACGCAGCCTGGTTAACTCGCCCGAACCTCGAGTTCGACGACAGTGATTTCGAAGACATCTATAGACTCGGCGGCCTTGACGAGTTATTCGAATTTCTGAAGAAGACTTTTCAGAGGTACGCTAAATCAAACCAAAAGATTGAGAGTTTAAAGTTAAGTTTGTGCTGTATTGAGCGCCTTTCTGACGAGATGATTGTGAAAGCTTTAAGATTGGGCGCCACTCATCTCGATTTATGCCTCACAGATGGGAGTGAACAGAAACACATTTTACCGCACTGTGTTTTGGAATCGGAAAACCTTGTCGGATTAGCTGTGGCAGGGTACGCTATTTACGATCAATTGCTCGATCAAACGGTAAGATGTTCGAAGCTCGAATCCCTTAGTTTAAAGGACGTGGAAATTAAACGACGTATAATCTCCTGCGTAGCTTCGACCTGTCCCTTGATTAAAAATTTGTCTCTGTGCAATGTTTGGGAATGGGATTGGACAGAATGGTGCCCTGAATTGATTAAAAATTTGTCTCTGTGCAATGTTTGGGAATGGGATTGGACAGAATGGTGCCCTGAATCGGTTTGTGATGGCCTAACCAATCTTCCTAGGCTGACTTCTCTTGTGCTTCGTGATGTGAAAGTGGATGCCTTGTTTTTGGGTGATTTGTCGTCTAAATTTCCTAATCTCAAGGATTTAAACTTGCAACCATACATCTTCGATGGAGACTTGGATGAAGAAATGCGAATCTCTAGCTGCTCGCTCGAGCGTCTGAGCTTGGAATTCAAACACCATGGGCGGCATCTGAAGACCGTGCTCGATGTCCCCAGAATTCGTAAATTTGAATTTAACGGTTTCGTAGTTCCCGATTTGGGTTTTCAATCGGCTTCAAAGGAATTGGGTGAGTCTCACATCACTATAACTTGTTCTGATTTCCGTGGTCTAATGTTTGGTGAGGTGAGCAAGCTGATAACGGAGTTGAGCCAGTCGAAAATTTATCTTTCTCTAAACGTGCGTATCAAGCCTTCTTGGTTATCTGATTACGAGATAGAGGGGTTCGAAGGTTTGCCATGCAGACACCAAGTGGAGCATTTGACGGTGGAGACGGACTGCCATCGACCGTCTTTAACTAGTTATGCCTTTTTCGATGGTTTGTTCTGTATATGTCGTCCGAATTTGGTAACGCAGCATACATTTTCTGTAGTTGACAATTCGAACAGTGATTTCCTCTCCAAGATACTCGAACAAGCAACCCAGGGGAAATTTTCGTCTCCATGCAATTTCTTGTATTGTCTGCATGATCTCGAGGAAGTTCACATTCAGCCTGTTGAGGAAGTTCACATTCAGCCTGTCGATGAGGTTTATGCTGTGTGGAGGCTACTAACACGGGAATCGTGGTCAGATATTTCTGCGTTGGTTTATCCTCATGACGTGCCAAAAGTTCGGTTCCGTTTGAAATGGAGGGATTTACCCTAGTTCGCATCTGAATGTGTTTATGAGCCTACCAACTTTTGTTGATTTTCTAACTTTTCTTTTTACCAGTTTCGAGTGTGAATGAGTTTTAGTGATTCAAAATTGTTCTTGTTGCATGCCATTCATCGTTCGGAAGACACATAATATATTTTACTGAAATAAAATTCTTCAGTTCAAGCCTACAGTCCTCGTCTTTTAGAACTTAGAAGAGAATTGGCAACTTATGTATATTCTTAAAAATTGTCTTGGTTTGAGTTGAAAAAATTTCCTATGGCAGAATTTCTCTGGTAATGAGGTTATGTGGCTAACTGCCCAGATGCTGATATAGTATCTGATCAGCTTCAGTCAAGACAAGCGTCTGCCAGGTGGGAAGATTATGAAGGAGGAGAAGCAGGAAGTTATTATTGAAAAATGACTCGGAACAAGCGCAAATGTATAACCACTGCGATAAGGCCTGGAATTTTTTGGGGTTAAACTAAATGATGCATCTAAGAAGCTTGGCAAAAAGTTTGCCACTGGAGCTTCTGTTGTGAAGGGTCCTACTGAGTTCAAGGAGACATTTTCTAATACAAAGTGGAGTTCGTCACAGATACTTGGCCTGATGTCCCGGAGACTGCTATTTTATTTATTGAGGATGGAAAAAAGGTTCCAGCTGCGTAGATGTGGGATGTGGGAACAGGCTACCTAATCTGGTTGTGCAAACCTCACGAAAATTGGGTATTTCATTGGAAAGCATTGGGATTATGCCAGAAAATGTATTTTCTGTTCTTTTGAAAGTTTTGAGATAATGCCAATATGTTTTTGCTTTGATTTGTATATGACCGAACGATTATTTCTGTGGCTGAAAAAAAAAAAT